GCCAGGTTAATAATTAACTTACAGTTTTTATTCTTTTATCCCCAAAAGATAAACATAGGAAAAGACCGCACTCGCTGGCACTTGGAATTGGCAAATAGTGATAAATAATACTGAAGGAGGGAAGCAGCAAATCTTACATATCTTACCTCTTTAAGGTGAACTTTTGGGCCAAAATAAAAATTGAGTTATTCCCCCATTTGTGCAGAATGCCTTCACTAACCAGGTTGGGGGGAAATCAGCACATACAGAAACTTGGTTTTAAAGGCTAATGGGAAAGCAAAAGAAGCTTTTCTCTTACTGTACCATAAGATGTGTAAAGATGGCTTTGATGTTCTATGTTTCAGTACACTAGAAATCAGGTCCTGGCTTACTGTCCCCTCAAGGACTTCAACAATGTTTCGAGGACCTTGGGTGGCAATATCACAATGAGCTGAAACCTGGGTGTAGCCCTGTCACCAATTGAGAGGTTGAAATTGTTAACTTGGCCCTCTAATTCACCTCAATGTACATGTTAAGATTTACCCATTTTCTCTTCAGTGACATTCTGTGTTACTTAATACCCCCCTTCTAGTTAGATTGCAAGATTCAGCAAGATAGGGACAGTATTCATGTGCATTTAGGCAATGTCTACAGATAATCAGGGATTATTTTCTTACGTTTTGCGTGGCAAAAAGCATGTGTAAGACCTTATCTACACCACAAAGTCCTGATGCTAACTAGCTAAACTGCTATAAGCCAGTGTCTACACAGTGATTTGTACCAGTTTATTTAAATCATTTTAGCCTGGTACAGCTTTTGTTTGTAAACAAGACCTAAACTTGTACACATCACAAGTGAATTGCAAAGAGCACAATTTCTTGTGCTTTGCTTTATTTTACTTCAAACTTTTTCTCCCTCTCATTGAAATTCACTGAATGCATCATTTTGTGGCCTTGTGAATTAATAATATAACTCAAATATGCATTCAGGGACACTGATAGCAAACCAGGGGATGTCATTGAATTTCACAAGGAAGAAAAACTTTTACAGCTTGTACATTTCCACAACCTGACTAGTGAGAGCACAGAGCACAAATCTAGCACAAACTCAATTTTCATTGTAGCCTCATCTGTAATACTGCATACTACATTAGTGAAATTGTTCAATGTGAACTTTTAAAAGGATTTGGCACAAATGTCACTTCCTCAAAGCCATTTAAAACTGCTAATTAGGGTTATTAAAGGAAATGGAGAAACTTCACTTTATTATCCTAAGCCCCCTCTCCCCATATACAAAGTGTAGAACAAGGAATATTTTTTTGAAAGGTACCTACTCATGACCACTTCCAAATGTCAAGATTTCTTCTGTTGAAAAACATCACTTTTAGCTCATGGAATTTCTTAATCTCAAGTAAATGACAGCATATGGTACCTTTTGATGTCTGGATATGCTTAATTTTAAATAAACTCATAATTCCAAGTGACTTCCTCTTATTTGTATTAGTCTCAAATCTGATTCCTCTGTAAAATGCTGCTTGTCCATGAATATGATATATGTTAAGACTGTAAAACCAAATGGAGAACTTGTTCAAAATAAAGCTTTTTTGATACATAACCTGCACGTAATAGAAACATAACCCTTCTTTTAAACCAGACACTTTTCTTTAAAACTGTGCCAGGAAGGTTGTCAGGTGCTAAAAATTTTAAATATCCCACCTGTCAACGAAACCATTATTTTTATTTGAGACAGATCTCTCTTTTTATATAATAATATTTTCATTCTAGGGAATGGTCTTTGTTTCCTCAATCTAAAAACAATTATAAATCCATGTATAATTTGGGCACTCGTGTTACAAAGTGTAGACCGCTGTCTTTCCTTATGCAAATCAATAAGGGATGTACTTGAGTAAAGGCTACAGGATCGGTTTTGTATTTGATTGTAGAAATCAATCTTGGCTAATACCACATCACTTTTATTTAAGAACATGACAGAAGGAGCTTGCACAATTTAGGAAATAAGTAACTAGTGTCTTAAAAGCCTAATACATTCCCTTTCTCCCTGTCATTGTACAACACAACTTGGTAAATTGGTTTCAGTCAAGGGTTAGCGATTGTAGCTGGTTCCTCTGCTGACATTGTCACTAGGGTTCAAGCTATCTGCACAGACGGGTCAAATCTGAATATCCTGTCCTTTTATTCTACATATGTATAATCTCACTGTACAGTGTAGAAACTACTTTAAAAGCCTTCAGTGCCTGAGAGCTGCATCTTTGAATTTTTTTTAAAAGTAATAATTCTGCTACTTGGGAGCTAAATGTTTATTGTACAATATCACAGCCCTGCCTCTGTTCTAGATAGTGATTTTTGAAAGTAGAATTCCTAAGTTGGTTCTAATTAAATATACTCATTATAACTAGAAATACTAAATGTCTATTTCTCTTTTCTGACTAAATTAATATCACAAATTTAGAATTGTTTCCTTTGTATATACAGAAACATCTTTGACCTGGTTGGTGGACTAGTCAACAAGGCTTTTTTGTTTAGTGGGGTCTCTGTTTTTCCACAGTCACTGTTTATTTTAACAATTGTCTACAATGGTAAGTCATGTATATGGAAATCAGCAAAACCCATATCTCATGATTCCATGTGTGTGTATCACAGGTCCAGTCTTTGTCCTCATTGATGTCAGGAGTGAACCCCCATAATACATGATCTACCATGCTGATTTTCCTTAACAGTACAGTAGTGGTGTTTATCTGTAATGGTGGTCAATCTGCATACTTTACCCTTTTTTTCCTGGATTATTTTAAAATCTGTTTTAAAACATTTTATATGTCAAATACACTCACTGCAGTTTGTACTAATTAGCACCCAGATCCAAAGGCAGCAAAGGGGTTTAGGCTTTTTCTGCACATACACAAGCCCTAATACCATTCATACAAATAAAGTGAGCAGGATGTGGCCACTTACTGAACAGTCAAAACTTGGGAACTCTAAAGTCTCCTGTGCTGCACCTCCTGTGTCTCATTCCTGTTCTTGTAGACAACTCTGTACAGGACAGGCTATGCCTCCTCCCCCTGCCCCCCCCCCTCCTTTTAGTTCTTGGTGGTTCTGCCCACTGGTAAGTTTCTAGCCCTTGTGTTGCAGAGAAGGACTTGAATGTATGTGATATTTCCTAACCACCATTATTTTATGCTTCTCATCCACTTCCCTCCTCCCAAGCCATCCAAAGCTAGTTTTGGTGGCCGTTAAAAATTCTACATATTGAGCAAATTTGTGGCTGTGAGGTGCTAGGGCTGCTCATCATGTGGTTGAAACTGAGTTGGCTCTTTTGCTGAGCAGCCAATAGTAAACTTTGGCAACAAGGAGGAGCTACTCAATAATGAAGAGGCATCACCTGAACTAAGCACAAGATAGTTTTCCAGTTGTGGCTCAAATTGACTCTCTCAGTGGCCTTAACCATTTTTAGCTTTGATAGTTGTAAAATGGGGATGATAATGAGGATTAATCATCACAACACACTACAAGGGAGTTAGTCACTGATTATAAAACCCTATATAAATGCAAAATATTGTTGTCCACTTTGGCCTGAACGGTTAACCACTATTTAGGGCTTTGCAGGGTTGTCTGTAAGGAGGAAAAACTGAGTGAGGTATATACTTTGGTGCGATCCTGTTTGCCTTAGTCTGCTATTCTGTGTAAATGTTAAATTGCCATTTTTCCTCCAAAAATTGGTGCATTGTGTGGCTTGACACCTTATTAAACCCCTAGGCAAGAACTGCGTGTAATGTTATGAATTGCTACATGTGCCTTGAAATTCCTTGTTTGATTATCACTGGTTTATTGGGTAGGAGTGGTGCTACTCCTTTTCAAATTGAAGTAGCTGCTGCTGCTGGAGTGGGATGTATTTCCCACAGTGAGTGGGAGAGGTGAGATCAGATTGGATGAAAACGCTACTCCTGCAGGAACAGGGTGCTGCTGGCCTACTATCTTTATATTACATGTAAAACATCAATTAGAAATTCACTGCTTATTTGAATTATTGACATCACAAGGCTACTGTGGCAGCATGCTTGTGTCTTCCTTAGGTTGGAGACTCAGGCCCAGATCCTCAGAGGTATTTAGGTGCCGAACTGAAATCAATGGAAGTTAGGTGTCCAAATATCTTTGAAGGTCTAGCCTGAGTCCTTAAAGGGCTGCAACTGGAAGTCTCCATTCAGCAAAGCACTGAACATTTTGGCCCCTGATGCTGCATATGGATAAATCCAGTAGGACTACTTATATACTTAAAGTTAAGCATGAGTTTGAGTTTTTCCCTGGGTCAGGGCCTGAGTGCTCTGTTCCTTTCGGCAGCCAACCCTTGTTTGCCCATTAAACACAACCAAACATTCTCATTTATTGTTGTGTGAAATGCTGTCAAATAATTTATTTCTACATATGTTCACTAATATCCCTCTAGGTCCTTCTGATGGCACCCATCACCAGAGTAACAGCAGCTGTCACAGATGCAGAGCTGGGGCATGTATGACCCTGATCCTGCAATAGCATCCGTGTGGACAAAGGGGCCTGCCTGAACAAGTCCAGTTGCAGGATTGGGGCATATAGCTGTAGCTAGCTCCCTGGCTTGGTAGGAAAAAAATTATTTTAGCCCTATTCCTTCTATAGTGGATGCTGGTGCTTATGTGATGGGCTAAAGGGATGGACCTAGGATGTGTCCTCTCACCAGGCAACTAGAAGGCTGGATGCTGCTGGCTCTGAGCTCACGCTGTGGCCTGAGCCCCGCAAACAAACTGGCTGACCAGAGCCTCCCCCAGCGGGCTCTCAGCCCCCTCGCTAAACACACGCGCAGGAAAGAACTTGCGCAGGGCCAGGGCAGCAGCAGCGACTCTGCTTTTCTATTGGTGGGGCGTGTCCCCCCCCTCCGCCCCCGGCCCGGCCAATCAGCGCGCGTTCCCTCTCCAAAAGCGAGCGAGGGTAACGACTGGGAGAATTCCCTTCGCACAGGCGCAGGGAAACAGCTGGGGGGCGGCTCATCCACGCGCAGTGGGACTCAGGCTGCTGCCGCCGCTTGTCTCTTCCTGGCAGTCCAAGTAAGTGCAAGCGGCAGAGCTGCCGAGTGCGGATGGGAGAGCTCGGGTGGGGGTAGCGGGGTGAGGGACAAGGGGACTGGGCAGCCCGAGTGGGCTTCACGTTGGCTGGGGAGCTGCACCGCACTGCCGGGGGTTCGTCGTTGTTGCCCGAGCTGCGTGTTCTTTGCGGGGGGTGTCCCTTTCCTGCCAGTTTCCGATTGCATCAGCTTGTGCTGCAGGCAGCAGCTGATAGATGGGATTGCAAGAGGTCAGGTCACCCAGGTGGTAGTAGTTACGATGACGAATAGGTTCCGCTTCCCCCTCTTTTTTTCTTTTCTCTTTTCGTCTGATTTGGAGATTTCCCCGGATGGGAGCGAAAGCATTCTGTGTGCCCCGGCCCCGCGCCATCGTTACATCACTATATTTCTCTTCTCCTCTCTCTTCTCTCCCCCCCCCACCCCCCATGCAGACAATGGTGGAGATTGGAATCAGCAGCCTCTCATGCTGGATGGTGTAGGGTAGGGGTTCTCAAGGGTTGGGACCCCTTGGGGATCCACCCCAAACCCTGCTTTGCATCCAGCATTTATAATGGTGTTAAATATATTAAAAAAGCCCTTTTAATGTATGGGGGGGGTCGCACTCAGAGGTTTGCTGTGTGAAAGGGGTCACCAGTACAAAAGTTTGAGAACTACTGCTGTAGGGTGAACGATGATGTGATGGTTGGAGTTGGGGAACAAAGCTGTCTAGTTCTTGTTACTTTGTCCTCTGGTCTTAAGGCAATTAACTGCATGAAATAAACCACTTGTGCTGGTTGAAATCTGGAGAATGTTATCCTGGTGGATGAGATTTTGACCAAATGCCATGATACATAATATGTATATTGATGTGTGATAGTGTTAGTCTGGCACATATAGATACCAAGGTGCCAAGTTCCAGTCATCTTCTTTTATTCCAAGTCTTGCTGAAATCCGTGGTGCTCATAATATGCTGCACTAGAAACAGGAGCTGCTTTAGGCACCTAGTGCGAACTAGAGTTACAGATAGCTTTTGCAGATGGGATGAGTGGATAGCTTTCTCCAGTTACAGTTCAGAGGGTAAATGGTGTTTGATTGGAATTTTGCCATAAAATCCGATGTATTAAATTCTAGTGTTTTTAAGATGGGTAGAGCTAATTAGAACATGATGCAATCTGCTGCACAGTAGAGAGAACGTTGCTGGATGGAAAAATCCTCTTATCAAGATGATTTCTTGTGTATTAATTTATCAAAAATATTATTTGCTGTATTCATCTCAGTAGAAGTTATCCTGATAAAAGAAGGATAGTAAATATTGTCTTTCCACAGGCCTGTGTGTGTGTGTTTAAAATGTATTTGGAGGTTATTTTGTTTCCTGGGGTGAGCAGAAAAACAGAAGGCGTAGGGAAATACTCGATAGCAATGGATGACTTGCAAGTAATATCGATTAATGGAAAGCTTGTGATGTCCAGGGGTTAACATTTTTGTGGGAGAGCCACTAGAAATGTAAAGAAAAGCACAAATTTGGAGGGGAAGACTGGGAGTTGACTACTGGGAAGCCTACATCTGTTGTTGAGTGAGTCTCCTTTGCCTGTTTGATAGCATATAGGTCATGTTTGGCTGCTTTATTGTGTTACTGTTCCAGTTTCTCTCCCTGTCCCTTACAAGCTTGGCATTAATTCTTTGTCTGACCATACTGGGCTTCCCTCTGCCAAAAACATGAGGGCTCTTACATGTTCTTCTTACAACACTTGTGTAGCTTGTTAAGGCTGGGGAATATGTTTTGTGTGTTTTATACAGCTCCCAGTACAGTGGGGCCCTGAATATGATTGGAGCCCCTGAGAGCTACCACAGTAAAAATGATTATTATAATGCCAATAAAACAATATTGAATTGACCAGTAATAGATCTGATTATCCCCCCTTTTTAAATAAATACAGTCCCTCATTTTTTCTGTATATCCCGTATCTTTCTAAGGGCTTGGTCCTGCAAGATGCTGAGCATGCTGGCCCTAATCCAATGAAGCAATTAACCATGTGCTTCACCTTTAAATAAGTAATTGTCCTATTTATGCCAATGAGACTCTGGTGAATTGGAGTCACTACTCAGCACCATGCAGGACTGAGCACTCAATAAGGGGAAGGAAATTCCAGAGTAGTGAGGGGAGTGAAACAAGGGCCTGGTGACCTCATATATCATGAGAATAAAATGGGGGAGGGGCAAGATGGAGGGACAGAAATTGGGGTGGGGAAACAAGCATGTGCTGCTGGGTGAAGGTGGGTTTTTTTTTTTGTTTGTTTTGATTTTTATAAAAAACTCAGTTGCTTAGTCTAGTAATTCCGGGACTGAGGCTAGGTCTACACTACCCGCCTGAATCGGCGGGTAGAAATCGATCTCTCGGGGATCGAATTATCACGTCTTGTCGGGACGCGACAATCGATCCCCGAATCGACACTCTTACTCCACCAGCGGAGGTGGGAGTAAGCGCCGTTGACTGGGAGCCACGGAGGTCGATTTTGCCGCCGTCCTCACAGCGGGGTAAGTCGGCTCCGATATGTCAAATTCAGCTACACTATTCGCGTATCTTAATCGACCCCCCTCGTATTGAAGACCTGCCCTAAGAAACCCCACCATGCACAAAGTTTAATGAGATCGTTGCATACTGTTGCTTGAACAAGTTTTATATGCTTTAATCCAAATGCTTGGGGGATTCGGTTACCACAATTCTACCTTTATTGAGTGTGACTCAGCAACTCTTAAGTCTGTAATTTACCACATACCATTGTGTGTGGAGTTGGAAAAGGAGGTGTGTAACTCAATGCTTCTGTTTCAGTCACCTTGGTGATGCAACAGCACTGCTCTAAAAATAAAAAGACAAAATCCTGTTTCTTTTGTTTGAATATGGGTTTGAAGTTGTTACAGTGGATTTGTTATGATGTAGCTCTGTTTTTTGGCAAGCTTGCTTCAGCGTTGTCTCTCTGCCAAGGAGACAGGTGATTGTCTGTTATGCTTAGCACATTAAGGAAATTTATGTTTAAAATCTAACTTGAGGGTGTTATACAGTGTTTAGTGGCTCCTGATAATTTTAATTTCTTGAGGTGTTAGATTACAAGAAATGTCTCTATACCACATGATTTGTAAGGGGAGCCTCTAGAAATGTTTTACTCTCATTTTTAAAAAACAGTGCTGCATGTTAGTTTAATTTTCTGGCTAGTCCACTCATTACCGCTAATCTAAACTGTTTTCATGAGAAGCATTATGACGTACTTCTCTGTATTTGCATCAAGTTCCTATTGTATCTGAGGCTTTGTCTTTATGCAAACTTAAACTTGTTTAACTAAGTCTGATTGTTCTGGGTGTGTTGTGGTGGGTTTTTTTTTTTTTTACTGACTTATGTAAGCTGATTCGACTTAATGTGGATAAACTTAATTTCATTTTTAAACCTGGAGAGCCAGATATAAACAGATATGCATATCCAACTAGGGATTTTCACTGGTGTAACTAAATCACACCTTTAGTTAAACCAACTAGCTCAAGTTTGTGTGCCAACTAGGTCTGAGAGTGCCTTACTTTTAGGCTTTCCTGCAAGAAACAGGTAATCCAGAACTGCTAACTTCAACTCTGTTCAGTAGGGACAGGTGCCCCTTTCCACCAGCATTCATCACAGATATTGCCCAAGTAAGAGATGTAGCATAGGACCTTGGAACAGTAGCTGTTGTTTAGTGAATTGCATGTGGAACTAGGGATTGAGATCAGCATTCTATTTCTGGCTCTCTGTAACCTTGGGTGAGTCACTTAATCTTCTCTGTGTCCATTTCCCCACTTGTACAATGGAAGGAATAATACTTCCCTCCCTAAGCTTTGTAAAGTACTCTGAGATCTCTACATTAAGGGCATTATAGAAGTGCAGAGTATGTCTACATATTTATGCACTGGGGAGGAAAGGTCAGATCTGCTTTTAGTATAAACAAAAGTAGTCTACTTAAATACAGAATTGGATAATGAAAGTTACCATCTCCAGATTACGGACAGAAACTTTCCAGTCTCTCTTCTCTAATGCTCTCATGCTTTGATATTTGTAGGAGTAGGGTTGCCAATTTTGGTTGAACGTATTCCTGGAGGTTTCATCAAATGACATAGTCTTTAATTAAAGATTAATCTTTAATTCCTGAAGACTCCCGTACAATCCAGGAGGGTTGGCAACCCTATACAGGAGTCTTGTTATGCAGAAAATCTGTTGCACTGGTATAAAAACAAAAACAACAAAAAACAGATAGATCAGCAAGGTGATCTGACACACCCTCAAATTTCATGAGAAGTCATGATACTACTCAGTACACCAGTCTCTCTAGCTCCAGATATGTGTGCAGGCAGTCCTCTTTTCTGTGTGAAGTGTTAACATGGGACATTTTGCTGAACTTACGCTGGGTAGTCTTACATCCAGTGTTCACCATTACTTTGCCATCAATCCTAGTTTTAACATCCTGGTAATGTTAAAGGGGCAGGGGGAAAATATAGGTTTTATTTCAAGCCACAGAGGAGGACTTGGATATATCCGTTCAGCACTGAGGAAGAATGATATTGATGCAGGGAAACACCGGTGCATTCATCTTCAGCTATAGGATAAGACTATTGCGAGAGAATTGGACTGAACAGCTTTGAACTCTGGGATCCTCTGTACCTCTCTTGAGATGTACCTCTTCCACAGAGCCATAGTGTAATTCAGGTAGGCCCCACTCCAGCAAAGCACATGAGTAGACGCTTTGGCTTCAATTGGACTACTTGCTTAAGGTTAAGCATATGCTGAGTCATGGCCCTAGACATGGTCCTTAGCTTGCCTCTTGTGAGTGTTTATAAGTCACCAATTGCTGCAATATCAGAGTACCAGAAAGCTTAGAAGATTCTTGGAAAACCACAGTTATACACTAGTTTAATAAGGCCTCAGATTTCTCTGCTTTCCTGCTTCGCTACCCACAGTACACTCATGTCATCTCTTCTGTGTCATGAGGCACTGATTGGCTGTTGCCTGGGATGTAACAGGACAGTTTCTTCTAGCTCTGGGAGAAGGATGCATTCTTAACCAGAGCACTCTTCTCCATGCTTTATTTCTAGAATGTGATTTCCAAAAGCACTCTGTGTTGGCCTAACTCTGCTCCCATTGAGGTCAATTAACGTTTTTTCATTGACTTCAATGAGAGCAGAGTAAGGCCAGCTCAGAGTGCTTTTGAGAATCCCACCCCTAACACTTCAGGAACAAATTGATTAAGAATTGCAGTATCAGCAGTACTTGTGCCTGCCTCTGAAGATCTAGGCAATGAAAAATGATGGCCCTTCCAGAATTCATGTAATGTTATACTAATAAGTTAGTGTTGCACTTATCAGCAGACAAAGCATTTTCTCTCCTGATGACTTGCAGATACTAAATGGCTGCAGCTGATTCTTGTATCATTCCTTAAATAGATGTTAGAATGCATAGAAAACCAAACTTGTGTTATACTGCTAAAAATAAAAGTAATATCTTAACTGAGAGAGAAAAAAGGCCTTGCTAACTGATCTGACTCAAATGTTTGGGGCCATTAGATACTGACATCCAATTTCTCTTTCCATCTTCCACCCCTTTCTGTAGCAAACTCAAGTCAAGAACGAGGATAAGTGGTAGAGAAATATAGTCCCATTCTCCAGACAAGGCACAATGGAGTCCTGCATCCCACCTTCTACTTGGCATTCAGCCCTTAGATCTCCATCAGATCTCACTCGTAAACCGTTTTTGTTTTTTTTTGACAACTTAGCTTCAGGTGCGACATTAGATGCTATGTGTGTGATTTATTTATTTTTAATTTTGCGAATGTTTAACACGTGCACACTGCATCAGATAAATAGCCTTGGAAACTGACTTCTTGTACAGCGGGGGAAAGTACAGTGCAGGCAGTGTCAGGAACAGTTTCCTAGCCTGGTCTTGAACCCTGTTCTGTAGGGACCTTCTCTAGAGACAGAATGGCATTTGAGTTTTCCTTCAGTCTGAATTCCCCGTGGAGGTGCTAGTTAGGATGTGGATGGTTGTCGCACTGGTGATCTCAGTCCAGATCCCAGTGATCACACAGTGACAACTTTTAGCCACTGCGCACGTGGTTGGGACTCAAACTGGTGCCCTAGAGATCTCACCAGTAATCTCATGAGCCACCCTACTGGCCTGTCCGGCACTGATATGGAAAGCACAGTTCAGAGCAGGCTGCTAGCTGAAGAAAATTCCAAGTAAAGGAGTGAGCAGAAAATCTGTTTTTAAATATGTTCTCCATCTCCCCAAGTTTAAAGGGCTGGATACAATGAATGAATAGAATGCACTTGCTCTAGAAAGCAGTGAATGCAGATATGGGACTAATGCTTTCCTACAGTTTTTATGTTTATACATGTTTCTATAAATTAGCTTTCTAGTTTCTGGTTTTGTGTACTCAGGTGTGTAATGGAAAAGATTGGATGGGCTTTTTTTAGTTACCTTTGACTCAAACTGGTAAGAGGTGTAATTTTTTTTTGCATACGCCCTGTGCCAGTCTAAAAGTCTGTGTTTGGGGATTTACTCCAAAAGAGGGAAGTGTTGCTGATGCTTCTGACCTCCTTCTGGGTTTTCTGCTGGAGAAGGAGCATGAAGTTGCACTCAGATTTCCCCTGCAGAGGCTGCTGTGGGAGCGCACTAAATCCGTGTATTCCCTTGCTGCCCTGTCCATGTCTCACTCTTGCCAGTCCTGCCAACTATTCATTGGTCCCCGGGTGGAACTGCAGCTTTCCGCTCCTGTAACTTTGCCACCACCTTGCCCACATTTTCAAAATACTTCCTACCAGCACAAAAGCTAGTACAGTGTATAGCCCTGGGATGAATCTGGACCTAAAGCTGTCCTGCCCTATGTTTTGCTGAATTTGCATGTCAGAATTAGCCTTGAGCCAGTCTGAGTGTAAATTCCGTGTCTTGCTGGTATATAGAGTGCATGATTGCAGGCTCATTAACATAATTGATGCTTATAAGGAACTGATCCTTGGCTTTTCTGTGTAAAGCGTTCAAACCAAGCTTGACTCTTCCCCCTCCCTCCCCCCATAGAATATTTATACATCACAGCAAGCCTAACTACTGCTGGTTAGTGTTCTTCCATATCTATTGGGGACTATATGAAGAAGTTGTTCTCTTTCTAGCATAAGGGGCTGTTCCACAATCTCTTAGAGTGTCACCCTGGAAAAGTTGATTCTCAGAGCACTAGATGGCTCGGCAGTAATAGAGGATGATTCTCTGCTATGGCGATCAAGGCCTCTGTGTCCGTGTGTGGACGGTGTGGTACTGGTAGCACATAGATATGGAGTACTTAGTGCTTTTTTTTTTTTTTTAAAGAAACAACTTTTTAGAACCAGGCCCAGTAACTATTAAATCCTTTTGTGGGGGTGGGGTTGTGGTTGTGTCCTTGCTGAATACCAACACCGCATTCTTTTCTGTGCAGGGTCTTTTTAGAAACAATATTATGTGCCAGGATAAAAAATTTGGCAGCTATGATAATTAATTCTACCTTGGTATTCTTCCTCTTTTTAAAAAAAATATAGTCCCATCTTTAAATGTTATTTAAAACTCAATCTTTAAAATGGCTTCCTCTTTCTTTATACCCTGAGTGGGAGAGAAGCTCAAAATTAGGCTGTTCCAGCAAATCTAGTTCTCCCTATGGAACTTTTGTTACAATTGGTTTAAAAAGAGAGACAGCCCTGCTGACAAAGCTAGGCTACTGGTGGTAGATATGTGTGGCGTCTACCGGTCAGTAGTACAGAGAGGAAATGAAGCAGAGGTTTCTGGTTCTTTAGCAAAGGAGATGATGAGAGTTCATGGGGTATCTGATGTGTCTAGAGAGGAAGTGTACGTTTGATGGTAGGTAAGTAGGTATTGTGAGGGGGGAATATCCAGGGGAAGATGGTCTTGAGGGAGGCGATAATGGATCTCTCCATGAGTAGGGGGTGTCTCTGAGAGAATGGCCTTCCTCACAACCAGGGGTGCTGGACCGATTTTTATAGTGGGGGGTGCTGAGAGCCATTGAACCAAACTGTAAACCCTGTAAATGAAGAAAACCACTTCAAGCCAAGAGGTGCGACAGCACCCCTAGTTCCAGCACCTGTGCTTACAACCCTGTTTCAATGGGGGCAGCAGGCTGCTAATATACTTTTTGTCCAGCACATGGATACAAGCTCTTCTGTAGCAAATATTCAAGCATATCACTCTTTATACACCTGGAAGGGATATAGCAACAAGGCTTAAAAGCTTTATGCGCAGACTGAAAAATCTGAATTGGTCCAGAGTTCCTGCTAGAGACCAGGCTACTGCCTTCCCCTTGCATAGCCATTGCTCAAGGGGCCTTTGCAAAATCACAGCCCAATCATGGAAGCTGTCTCTTTGCTGTTTATTGCTACAATATACAATCTTTCTGTTCTTTACCCACTGCAGCCAGCCAAATGGCACTTTTCAAAGATGGCATTACTTGTTTCAATATTGTTGCACACAAAGAAAGTTGCTCTTTCTCTTTTAAGAAGAGTCTTTCAAAACCATTTTTTCCCCCTCATTTTTTGTTTCAGGAGAACAAACTGTTTTGGAGACCCCTGAAGCAAGAAGTTTAAGGCATTGGTGGTAAGTATCAGGTTCATAACTGACCCTCTTACAGAAGCACGTGGTATCATCACTAATAAAATAACCAAATCCCTTCCTGTTGGGCAAAACTCTCTCTGCCTTCTTCCTTGTTTGAATATTAAAAAGGTATTGGCTGTGCCAGAACAGTGTTCTCACTGGGTGTGCTTTGTAAACACACATCAACTTAAATTCTGTAGACCCATAATCTCGTGTCTGTACATAGACGCCAACTGTTTTATCGATCATATGTATACTTGCATGTGCCTCAGAGGAAGTCATAAAAACCTCTAAAATAAATTTACTATACCAAAACTGTCATGATATTATGGATTCGTATCTCAGGACTCAGGAGAGGATTAATGGTGACTATTTAAAACTGCTTAAAGGTTTGGAGTGTTAGAATCCGCTTCAGGGAGATGGATTAGTGGACCGAAGGCAGGTTTTCATCAGTGGTGCATGATCAATAAAATTAAGCATAAAATTTTAGAATCATTACATGGTTCCACTGTCTCGTGGCTCTCCAGTTTATTAAATGAATATCACCTCTGGATACATAGCATGTGTCTGTTTATATTATAGTGGCACCGAGGGACCCTGATCAGGATTGGGCCCCATTGTGTTTAAGTGCTGTACAAACATGGAAGTAGTCGTAAAAATATTAAGAAAAAGCTTGGACACGTTCAAAGACTTAAGCCAGATACTTTTTCTAGTTGCCGAACATACAGCTATGAAGGCATGGAAAAATCCCAATCGTGCCCTCATACTTTCTCGAAGTCCAGCCAGCTGTTTAACTTCATATACACCTCTACCTCGATATAACGCTCCCCGATATAACACGAATTCGGATATAACGCGGTAAAGCAGCGCTCCGGGAGTGCAGGGCTGCGCACTCCGGTGGATCAAAGCAAGTTCGATATAATGCGGTTTCACCTATATCGCGGTAAGATCTTTTTGGCTCCTGAGGACAGCGTTATAACAAGGTAGAGGTGTATATGCTTAGACTAGCTTATAAAGGATGGAGTCTCTTTTTGGATTTTGCCTTCTAACACCGGAGACGTTCATTTTGTATACATGCAGGCGGCGCTAGCTTACAAGTGAGAAGAACTCTCAACAGTTCTCTTCCATAACATAGTTGAGCTTGATTGCTCCTTCCCCATGGGAGGGGCCAAAGGGGGAGCATTTCTGCTAGCTTTTGCTTTTCCTTGTGGAGTTTTGTCCAGATTGCTCCATTGGAGGAGAAGTTTGTAGGGCTGCTCAGTGCTGTGCTTCTCATAACACCTACATTTGGTAGCCCCCAGCAGGACTGCAGCGTCTCCTTCAGGCCACTGGGGTAAGGAACTATAAACAGAAAATCTGTCTGTCTTCCCCTGCTCTCATTGCTGGCAGGGCTGTCCTTACCCATACACAAAGTACGCAGTTGTGTAGGGCACCAGGAAATTTCCTGGTGCCCTGCACAGCTGCATGCTGCTCCAGCCCCGCCCCCACTCCCCTGAGGACTGCAGCATGGCCCGGCCTGCACTCACTGGCGGTGGGAAGTGCAGACCCTGCCCCAGCCTTGCTGCCGGTGAGTGCTGGGGGGTGGTTCCCCCCTGCCCCCCAAGCCAGGCCCCCCCCCCACAGGCCTGGGGCCTGCCCACCCATGGATGCCGGGGACAGCCCCCCCGCTCGCCCCACTGCAGATGCCTGCCCCCCCTCTGCAGGGGGGAGGGGGGGGCTGCGTAGGGCCCCAGAATAGCTAGGGACGGCCCTGATTGCTGGGGCCCACTCTGCCCTGCAAAGTTTGATGGGCGTAAGCACCTTGTGTCATCCTAGTTGTGCATGTATTTACACCAAAATTTGTCTCCTGCCAATGTAAGCACCTTGTTACAGCAACACAATAACTGTGTGTCTACCTTTGTTGGATGTAAATAGGGGGAAACCACATGAAAAATAAGGGACAACACTTTATTTTAAACAACATTTTAGAGAAGTATCATTTCCCTTAGCATATTGTGTATTTTTTCCTTGGGTGTTCATTTCTGTTGCCCTCAAGTATACAAGGCAGTTATCACAAGCTGCAATTTTAAGGTTTAAAATGGTAATTATCAGTTTTAATACATTTCAGTACATCTGTTTTAAAATCCATTAATAACCGTGTACATGTGCAATTGAAATTCAAGTTAATTTGAAGCGTAACATTGCAGAAACCAACTAAATATTGATTCTGTTAATCTGTCCAGATCTGTTTACACGAGGAAAATAATCTTTTCACTGCTACATTAAAGATAGGAATGGATGTAATAAATTCCACAAGTTTTAAGAAATTGGGATAAGGAGGAGCTGGCTACCATGTTTTAAAGCTGACCTTTTCCCCTGCACACAGTACTCTCTGACCCTTCTTTGCGGTAAAACATCTTTGTTCATATGTGGTAAGCATTTGCTGTATACTTAGAATTCTGGAAAGGGAAAGGTTCATTAATGGCTTTTAGTTCTTCCTAGCATCTCCTTACCTGTGTTACGAGTGCCTGTTAAAACATGATCAATATTCAGCAAAGTCTCAAAGAAGAAGCCATATCCATGACTTTTATTTCAGATGTGCAATTCATTGCAGTCTTAGGACAACATAAAAGGAGAACCTTTTTTTTTAGTGTGTGGTTAGCTTATTAAAAAGCTACGTTTCTTCAGGCTGAATTCTACACTGAAAACAAGGTTTAACCAACAGTTACATTGCTTAGTGCTGCTCTGCAAAGGTTTGATTTGGCCTTCCCTTACCCATGTGACAAATCAATGACATAAGGGAGTCAAGGGATGGGATGGACACCCTAACAATAACACCACCTCCCTGTGTGGTGTAAAGCTGTGGTCATCCTATTTAGGCTGACCCAGTGCGAGTGTAGCTGCTGTATTTTTGTGTTGACTTTTGTGAGTCCTTCAGTAGCTGTCCCACAATACCCCTGTTCCTGCAAAAGTGGTTGTTCTGGTCAGTTTTGAACTCCATTGCCCAGGAGTCATAGAAACCCAAAACCTGCTGCCCCCTCCCCCCCCCCCAGCCCCTTTGGGTTTTTGAAACGCTGTTTCCTGATGGCCTGCCTTGGTGAGCACACCTACCAGCTCACCCTTGTGGGTGTCCAACCATGCAGAGCTCCTTAGCTGCTAAAGCAGGCAAAACAACATGGAACCCCTTGGACAGGGGAGAAGAGGCTGCGTAAGCACAACTACTGAACAGCCACAGAAGTATTGATCTCTGTGCGCCAATCATGCAGGGGGATGCTGAAACAGGGACGAGCAGCAGGGTTCCGTGAAAGCAAAGAAACTTCGTCATGGTTTCCAGAAGGCCAGAGAGGGCAGCAACAAATCTGGTGCTGTCCTGCAGGCCAGTTGCTTCTACATTGACCTGCAAATAGCCCTCACTCCATCTGTGGGTATCACAGCAACTCCTGGTGCCTGTGGACGCCTGGACAATGCATCTGCATCTACATTGCTTCTCCCTGATCGGTATTGAATGCTGAAGTCATAGCTAGCCAAAGCAGCCACCCATCTTTGCCCTGTAGCATCCAGCTTAGCACTTGTTAACACATAGGTCAGTGGGTTGTTGTCTGTCCACACCTGGAACTGAGCACCATATAAGTAGTCTCGAAATTTCTCAGTGATGGCCCATTTCAAAGCCAAGAACTCCAGCTTGTGGGTGGGATAGCGAGTTTCACTATCAGACAGTCCTCGGCTGGCAAAGGCTACAGGTTTACGTGTTCCTTCCAGTTCCTGGTACAGTACTGCTCCCAGACCCTCCAAACTGGCATCAGTATGCAGGATAAATGGTTTGCTTGGGTCAGCAAAGACTAGGACTGGAGCATGAGTTAGGCAAATAATGATTTCTCGAAAAGCCCTTTCACATCTCTCATCCCACCGTGGCCCAAATGGTTCGAAGGGGCCATAGTGTCTCTGCACAGGAGGCTTTGGGGACTTCCCCTTATTCTTGGTCTTAGTTTTGTTCCTGCTGGACTGGTATCCCCTGGTAAGATCATTTAGAGGTTTTACAATTGTAGCATAGTTTTTCACAAATCTGCGGTAGTAGCCACTAAACCCAAGAAAGGTTTTGAGTTCTCTGTAGTTACTTGGACATGGCCATGTAGTGAGTGCTTCTATTTTATCGGGATCAGTACTCACACCCTCTTGGGACACGATGTGACCCACATACTTCACTGAGGTCCTGCAGAACTGGCATTTGTCAATTGAAAGCTTCAAACCATAATCCTCTAACCTATCAAGCACTTTAAGAAGTCTCTCTTCATGCTCCTCCAAGGTTCTTCCAAACACAATCAGGTCATCCAAATAAACTAACACTTGCAGTAAATTCATGTCTCCCACAACTTTCTCCATAAGACGTTGAAATGTGGCAGGTGCTCCAGAAATCCCTTGGGGCATGCGTTCAAACTGATAAAACCCTAATGGGCAGATGAAGGCTGTCTTCTCCTTATCTTCTTCACCCAGCGGGATCTGGTAGTATCCACTCCGAAGATCCAACACAGAGAACCACTGGCTTCCTAGCAAACAGTCTAAGGCATCTTGGACTCGGGGCATTGTGTACTGGTCAACCACAGTACGGCGGTTGAGGGTGCGGTAGTCAATACACATCCGGATTTTCCCATTCTTTTTACGGACCACCACAATGGGTGAGGCGTATGGGCTGCGGGACTCTGTAATGATGCCATTCGCAGCCAGCTCCTGAAGATGTTGTCGCACATCTTCCATCTCAGAGAGGGCAATCCTCCTAGATCTCTCCCTGAAAGGTCGAGAGTCATGTAGTCTGATGTTGTGCTCTACTCCTTTTGCACATCCCACATCCCACTCATGCAATGAGAACACCTTGGATCTCTCACAAAGTTTCCTCCTCAGGCGATCTTTCCACTCCTCGGACAACGGTGAATCTCCAAAGTCAAACTTTGCTGGGTCTATTGTCGGAACTTGAGTCTCACACTGGGGTTTTACAATTGATTCAGGTTCGAAGAGGTCTGCTATCTTTT